TACTACAATGAATTCTGTCTATATGTACATATCTGTGGCTCTGTATTGCATCAGTCCATGATCGTTGCTTTTTTCTCTTATTTGTATTAGTCGGCATGACAACCGACGACAAATAATGTATAATGTGTCGAGCTAAATCTAGTTCTGCATTGTTGTCAAAGGTTCGAATATTCTGAAGTATGGAACTCGCCAAATACATTATGTAGGCTATTTAGGTGAATTCTTCTTCCGTCGACAATATCATGCTAATGATCTAATAATTAAATTTGTCGAAATAATGGCTGAAATCTTTCCCACTTCTGATAATATCAATAAAGAAAATTGAAATAGAAAATGAATGCGTGGCCGCCGTTAGGCGGCCGGCTACACAAATCGAGTTTTTAAGCACAGCTGTTATAAAAAAATGTCTTTTAATAGTTAACCCTTTGCACTCGGCACCTTTTCGGACGTTAGCTATCAGCAACTCGACGCTACTTTCTCGCGAAAACGAAAACCCTTGGTCGTGATATTATATGGTACAACTTTGGAACCAAGTAAGGCATTGTGTTGAAATTTGGTTTATATGTATTTATGGACATTGAAGAACACATATTTACAATACAAAATAAAAATTTATTTCTCATAATTTTCTATGGTATGGTAAATTCTGAAACAATTCCCAATATACATAGCAGGTTGATTTATACATGTTTCACAATAAAATGTTGTTTGACGTCTTTCTCCTGGTGTTTTCCTGTCGGAACAAATAATGCAGTCCCGGTTTCTTTGGCCTACATTTGGAATATGTAGCTTATTATTCATTCTATTGTCCGACAAAGAACGTTAATTTATTTAGATTATAACGAAGATAGCAATAGGAATGGTTCGACTTTGAATGAAGTTTCGATTTTACGTTTATAGTTTTTTACGTTTACGTTTTATGTTCTTTATGTTAAATAATTTTAGTAAACATTAAATAATATAGTTTATATAGTTACGTTTATTGTCCACGTGTTTGAATCCGACCATACGCCTCTGACCATCATCGACAATCCTTCCACTCCCAACGTAAAAACGGCTGATATATTTCTCATTTTAATAGAATATTTCCCATTTTAATAGGAAAGTACAGGAAAACATGTGTTTCTTAAAAAATTGCGGTGAAATCAGTTCATTCTCCTTAATCACTAATAAACTTTCATGTCCCCTCAGAGGGGACGACCGAGTGCAAAGGGTTAAAATATGTTCATAAAATATTATCGTTTTAAAACGTGTATTTCCGTAAAAACAAATTTTTGTAATTTTTTCTTCATTATGGTATATTGCTTATACATTGTATATGCCTACACAGGTCGGAAAGTCAAAAATGCCTAGGCAGTCGAGAATCTCGGCTCGTGAATATGCGAGATCGAATTTCAGCTGTGTTGAGAGCAAGAAGGATAGACTGACATTCGCCGCCTTTCTCGAATCTACGAAGCTATACGAAACGCCAGAACTCATATACAAGGTGGTTGGCATTAGTGTGTGTGAGTGGTGGGGCAGTTCCCTTTCGGCACGGGTCTGCCGTCTGATAATACTCCACTGTCTTTTCCAATCCCTCCCATAATCAACTCACATGTATTTACGTACACACTCAGCTGGCTGCCCATCAATACTAATTCAGTGCCTAGTTTCTCAACTAACCGCCATCCATGAGAAGAGGCCGCTAAAATCACCTCCGAATTTTCAGGTCGGTATGGCAGTCAGATTCGGCCGCGAAAGTCCATAAGGTGAAACGTCTATTCATATATCTCGTCTGTGGTACGACTATCCGAGAATCGTTCACATTTTATCAATGTAAATGAAGCGGCCTTTCCATCAGAGTTAAATACAAAATTTTGTAATTTCTGTGAAACCCGAACTTTCAATAGATGTACGTGGTGCTTGAAATTTTTATGTTTTGACTGTTTTTACGAAAAGTACCATCCAGATTCATGAACTTCGTACATTGAAAATAACATATGTTAAATGTAATTGCTTAAATTCAGCTTTAAAGAAAAAATATTCGTACGATTAAAATATGATTGAAAAAATGAAAGAAAGATTTGTTTTACCAAGGTTCAAACCAGCACAGCAAAAGAAGCTCGGGGAACTTGCAGGCAAACACCTTATCATTCACGCCACGCTGGTTGTTGAATTTATTTCTATTTCTGAAGATAAGTATCTGTAATAACTCTAATAATATCTCAAAGTAAAACCTAACCCAAAATCGGGTACCATTCCAACTTTTCCTTGTTAGAACCGAGTTTTCAATTTGTCTTAGCGAAAATCGCAATCACATTTTGCACATTATTCTAAAACATTTGTGGTATTCGTTTTCAATGCGATTTAAGTAAGCATGTAATGTATAAGATTTCATTTAATTTTTTCTTTTCTAGAGAAGATAGAGAAAAAGTTTATATAATTTTTTTTATATAAAATTTAATTCGTCCTAAGATTTATATGAAACATTTAAAAGATTTTTTATACATTATGCCTATATATCGGAACAACTATGAAACAAGAGATATAATCATTATTATCCATGGACTGATTATAGTCAAAGTCTAACCGGGCTTTGAAATGAGAACATAAAACTTAATGTAAAGTTTCATTTAAATTCATTCAGCTATTTATACTCAATCGTATTAATAATATACATACATACAATGCCGAACAAAAGTATTGGCACAGAGCGTATTTTCAAATAAAATGTTATGCAACTGTGAACAAAGCATAATATCTTCCTTATTTTTGGTATAAAATATAAGTTTGAGGTTTGAACTTTAAGTATCTCGCGAAACAAAGCGATTAAGTAGACCTGTAATAATAAAAAATAGTAACAAACACATACAGGGCAGTTTTCGACGAAACAAAAGTATTGGCACACTTACTGTTTTATAATACAATATTCAAATTAATATTTTGTTTGTAATCCTTTTTGTCTTATTACACTTTGTAACCGATTAGGCATCGAATGTACTAAATTTTGTGTTACTTCTGAACCTATTTCATTCCATTCCTTCATAAGTGCATCTTTTAATTGCTCCTTTGTCTGAATAAGGTGTTTTCGGATCCTTCTTTCTAACTCATTCCATATGTGTTCAATCGGATTTAAATCCGGTGATTGAGGAGGGGTTGGCAATGTATGGAGTGTATTAAAAATGATCCATTGGCGGACAATATAAGCAGTATGCTTGGGATTGTGATCTTGTTGGAAATAGTAGTTTTCCTCAAAATTTAATTTTTCCACACTTTTTTTTAAGTTTTGTTTCAAGATATTTAAACATACAAATTTATCTATAATACTGTCTATAAAAATTAGTTCTCCAAGTCCGGAGGAACTCGTACAACCCCATACTAATACACTACCACCCCTGTGTTTGACAGTTGAGACTATGTTATGTGAATCCAACTCGGTATTACACTTTCGCCATATTCTTATTTAACCATCAGATTTAAAAATATTAAATTTACTTTCGTCAGAGAAGAGTATCCTATCCCAAAATTCTAAATTTTTGTGTACATTCATTTCTGCAAACTCTAATCTGTTTTTTCGATTATTTTGCTGATCAATGGTTTTCTTCTAGCTACTCTTGAATTGTACCCGGCACGTTTAAGAACTCTCCGGATAGTTATAGGATGTATATCTACCTTATTTTCACTTTTCATTTGTGCCGGTATTTCTGTAGAGGCAACTTTAGGATTTTTTTTACAATCTTGGTAATTTTTCGTTTATCTCGTTGTGATAATTTCTGTGGACGATCACTTCGCGGAAGATTTTTTACATTTTGTTTGTCAGGAAACCGTTTAACGATATTTGTTACGGTGAAACGACTTCTATTTACTATTTTAGCTATTGTAGAATATGAATTTCCCTCTTTTGATAATTTTAATATAATTTTTCTCTCTGAAATTGTTGTTTCACGTACGCGTATCTGGCATGTGTGAGTAGGGCACCCGACGGTGCTTTTCTGTCATCACTGTATGTAAGTTGAATTGAAGAGTAAAAATTTGAGGTTATGCATACAAGCACAAATGCATACGAAGTAAGTAAGTACGAATAGGGTGATTTGAATATTTCTATCAATTATCTTACTAATGTGTTAAAAACTTAGTTTACAATTTGTATTGTACTGATACAATATTTAACATGTACGATATTATATATTTTCCATTAATATTCTTAAAAACAATGTCACAATAACGAAGAACTGTTTTTCGAATACGAATTATACTGGACTATTTTAGCGAATCAATTTTATTAAATTTCAAATAACAATTTAACATAAATTAATTGAATTACACTGAAACCTTGATACGTACAAAGAGCAATCTACAATGTATCACTTTGAACAAAATGTTATGGGTGCTTTTCAACGCAACAAAGTTTCATTTTTTCAGACGCTAACTCACGCATACAATATGTAAATAATTGGTGAACATATAAATTAGAACAATATTTGTATACGAAGAAATGATATATCTGATATTGACACTCATTGGTATTGAATCGCTATGAAGAGACAATTAACATGCACTAGGTTTAAGGAATGCGTCAATTTGACGCATTCAGATTCTAATCTTAACGTTACAGAACTCATAAATATTATTTGTTTAATTTATTATTTTTAATTTATATTGAATTTATTTGATATAATGATATAAATATAGACACTAATTAAAAAAGAGAACTGCATTTTAATGTATTTGTCAACACAGGAATTACAATAAAAATATACGCAACGAGTGTCCGTAAACCTAGTGTTAAACACATAAATGTAAACAACATGAAAATTAATGTTTCGTTTACCATCATTTCATTAATTCATATTAAAATATTACAATCGAAAGATAAGATTCCATGAAAAGATCGATTACATATAAATTATTTGTTTTGTAATATTACATATTAACATTTTTATTGCGAACAGTTTCGTACAATGTAAGAAAATTTTTTTTTATTTAATTTAAAGAAATTTTAATAATTGATGGTTGTAACTTATGCCACTGTATGTCTTCATGATTTAAGTAAGCACTGTGTAACGCATGAAAGCTTTAAAACAAGTCCGGTACATAATCGTCATCACCGTAATCACCGTAATCATCCGCTCCGGGTGGTACGAAAATTCCTCCAAGTAGACTCGAAAGATTTTCACCAAGTCCCATGGCCGACGCAACTCCAAAAACCAGCCTCAACACGAGTAATCTCATGAAGTTTACTACGTTTGTTTCTTTACTTTGGAGAGATAATTGCGTAGTTTTTTTTGCTTTGCCATCGACGCAGTAAATCTGTTGATAATTACAAACATTTATTATGATATACCTTTTACAGATGTTAAATATGTGGCAGAAAATTAAACAAAATATATTTATTCATTTTATTTATCATATAGTATTGCTCATAATACTTTGGTATTACGAATCGTAATATGTCCTCCGCTGACTTGAAGTCTCGCGGGACGACACAGTGACAAGGGGAGTCGGACCGCCCATTTATCTATCTCGCTCCTTTGCTCTCAGGCAGTCCACATGTGTGTGTAACTGCCGCGACGAATAGCGAGCTAGAGATCAATGTATGCGTGGGAATACGTGTATCCCTTCTACTTCTCCCACATTCCTTCCGCGAGACTTCAAGTCAGCGGAAGACTGTACCATTATTGTATTACACAAAAATTTTATGCGTGTTAGGTATACTCGACCTATAGTGATAATAATTTTTAAGGAAAATTGACGATCTATTTAATTAACCCATAAGTTTGTGCTGTTCAATATTTTCAGATCGATGAGGATAAAATTCATAACATAGTAGGAAATCAAACAAAATTCGATGGTTCAAGAGATTTTAAAAATTTTTACAAAGTATGAGTTTCACACTGGTTAACGGAACGAAACTTTTTTGATTGTGTGACTGCGTGTATATCTTTGTTCGCATATTCTAAAACCGAATTTTTCCTAAAGAATTTAATAAGTGGAGATGAGAAATGAATTTTATACAACATGCCAGGATTACATCCTCATAAAGTTCTTCTGTACGTTTGCTGGGATCATGAATGTATTTTTTTTGTTTGTGCTTGTATTTCAAATTATGACTATAAAATGAAAATATCGTGCCTGATGTACACTATGAAGCAAAACTGAACACATACTTGGAATTTTAATATAAATAATATTTTATTCAATAAAATATTGAAGGTATAATATAAAATGCGTGTTATTATTTACAATAATTTAGTTTTCTATGAAAAATATTAAATTCGTATTATTGTTATTATTTCGCTTAATCCGAATTTTTTGTGTGGAATCAGTTTTGTACTGCAATTGATTTTTAGTAAATTGTTGAGTTTTTGTAATGTGGTACTTTATAAAAATGCAAACACATAAATGACAAGGAATTGGAGCAACGGCTTTCTTTAACGGAACAACATAACGCAGTGCGGCTGATGTTTGGTCATGGACAAATTTATTACACGAAGAAATAGAAAAAGTCATTTTTAGCAATGAAAAAAATATCGATTTACGTGACTCTGAATGGAACTTTTATTTTCGTGATTTAAGGAAAGACGAATGGTGTTTAAGTCGCCATCAAATGAGCGATGATAGTACCATGGTATGTACTAACACAGACGAGATATATGAATTCATATAAATATATGAGATATTCATATACCTCGTCTGTGGTACTAATATTGGCTATCGCGAAAAAACAGAAACAAGTTTTATGTCAATGTACAATATATTTCTTTTATACAGAGTGTCTCGTAATATGTGGGTCCTACTTCAGGATTAGATTCTACACATGAAAACAATAAAAAAAGTTCATATAAACATACGCCTTATTCGTCTTTGTTTCGAGTTATGGTGAGTTTCTTCTTTAACACACCGTATTTGTTCACCTTCACAACAAATGTTCGAAATGAGCTCCTTGCATCTGAATACAGGCCTGGAGACGTTTTATCATTGACTGTCTTACCATTTTCATTTGTCCAGGAATTGTTCAAATTTCATGGAAATCTTGTACAATTCTTTCACGTAGCATTCCGACGTTATTAATAGGTACTTTGTATACAATGGATTTCAAATAGCTCCAAAGATAATAATCTGTTGGTTTTGACTCGTCGTAGCTCGAAAACAAGGTCGAACAGGACGTACGTTTATATGAACTTTTTTTATTGTTTTCATGTGTAGAATCTAGTCACATGCCACGGGACACTCTGTATACGTATAACAAATATATGTATAAGTATTCAAAGTGTCTTATATTTTTGTCCAGTGCCCTATTAAAGTTATATAAATCCTTCTTAACGATGATCAATCTTTCGATCTGTTAGTAATTTGAAAACATACACCGTTATAGTTCTTATTTACGATTAATTGTCTTTCTTAATGTATTAATTAATTCTTTACATTTGAATCGTACTTTCGCTTAATTTGAACTTACGTTGACGCAAGCAAGAATAATTGCTACTAAAGCAAACGTGATTTTCATCTTGTATTTCCGCTGCGTTAATCACTTCCGGTGAATACCAGCGAATCCTTTTGAGACTCTCGATCGCACTTTTCGTTGCGTCTACGTTCGTTTCCTGCGACGAGTAAATACGTTTAGCATCGATAGAACTGTTTCGACCGCGTACGCAGAGTGAGCAACGAGAACTGAATGAACCACGTTTACGCGACAGAAACTCACACAGTTCTTCTTCTCGTTATATTTCGTGGCTAATAGAGGACATGTACGATCGAACAGATTAACGACAATGACATAGTGAAATAAGTGGCAGTGTCATGATCATAGTATCTAAGTTATTCTATAGTAACGGTACACGACGAAAAAAGGCATCCAGGCCATCTCTCCAGGTTACGCGTTACGTGCTCAGGCGTTGTACAGTCACGGATGGCGGAGGATCCCTTTGGAATCGAGCGCGTGAAAAGAGGCTCTTGAAAGTGTCAATACATGGTCGACCGAAGTTCACGATACTTTCGTCGACGCCCGATAGACAACTAAAACGCTTATGATTTTTTTCTCATTAGAAAATTTGCTGGTCATTATTCTCTATTAAATCTTTTATGAATCATCGGGCCAGGAAAAAGAAAGTAGCGTAAAAGGTCAAACTTTAAATTCTCAAGTTTAAACGTTTCGAACAAAGTAAACGCGGGCACATGGACTGCCGATAAGCGACACTGAATCAACATAAATGATTTTGAACGTTTTAAATAACTATAATTTTCTAAGAACGTCACATTGAAATGTCGAATCGGTATAATAAGATATCGAATTAAGATAAACGTATTATAATATCATCGTTCGGTGTTATGAGTTTTCATTCTTTTAGTACCAACAGTTTGTAAACGACAAAAGTTATTTCATTATCGTAGCAAATGAACGTTATTAGATTTAACTATGTACTTCTAGATTTAAATATTGAAAAAAAAATGAAACAGATTTTAAGGGAACTAGCACGTGTGTAACGTCTATATGTATGTCGTAAACCATTAGAAAGTTTTTATTATCGAAATTCATGTTACTTCACGTTGAAAAATAAAATTATGTTGGCCCTAATTGATCCCCAAATTTAATCGATGCGAAGAATGTCATCGAAAACGCAAACGTGCGACCGGTTGGCGTTAACGTTTGAATGTGGCCTTTGAAGGTAGTCGAGTTGGTTATCTAGATACCGGAACGTTTAAAAAAAGAAACGGACGAAAAAGAAAAAAAGAAGAACAAGAAGGATTTCCGGACGGAAAGGACTTGCGTTAAAAAAAGTTAAAAGAATTTCCTGCAAAGGACTCGCCCGTTTTCGTTGAATATTCTTTCTTATTAATAAAGTGTGTATAAATTGGTTAAAAGTTTTAATCAACATGAAAAAAGTAACGAGACAAAGGCTTGGTCGCCCGAGAGGACCTGGTAGAAGTAATCCAAGAGCAATGGCTGATGAAGTTGTTTCTCTGACATGTATATTATTCTAACGATATGCAACCTCAATGATCAAGTTTTTGACGTTCAACAGAAAAGATTTAATGCTTCGTGGTAAACGTTAAGATGTTATATGTCGTTAACAGCGAGCAAGGCATTAGCCTGAATACATGTATGTAATGCAAATAACAATGCTGACATGGTTCGTTGCTTTACAGCTACTTTACAGCTACCGGTATGAACTTCATACTATTAAGAGGGTATTCTACTGTAAACATTTAAAGGAATCGATTGTTTTTTTTCACATTTTTTTGAAGAACATGCGCAATATCCTTTATCCTTTCTTGTTTCTTTCATATTTGTTTAATTCACAAAAATGATAAGAAAAACTTTAAACGCGTTTATCTTAAATCTATACGTTATTAACTGATTTCCATGATCTCTGAAAATCTATTTGACCGATTGGTTCAGTACACTCGTCATTACAGACCGTACTAGAATTTGGTCCGCAAAAATAATAAAAGACATTATAAAACCGATAATTAAACTTTAAAGTGTTGTCATTTTTTTTAAATTATCGATCTCTTCCTTTCATTTTACTACCTGTTAGTTATGACTAAACTTGAGAATTTTTTATTTAATTTTCATTTCAAACGTGTAGAATTACTGAAATCATAGAAATCATCAAATTACGTTTTCCTTTTTTTTTTACTATGTTTGGAAACATGCAAAATGCCCATTCACACTGAACGGAAATACATATCGAAAGAATCGCATCACTGACACTGAGTGAAACATTTAAATTGGCTGAAAAAGGACGATCGCTAAACAATGGTCGACGGTCTCAACGATTGAATGGAAATGAAAGTCGTTCAGAAGCCTTCCGACAATGACCACTGATCGGGAATGACGCTGCCAACGGCCGACGTTCGATTTGTGGTGTATTCGAAGGACAGTCGAGGATTCACCTGCGACGAGGGTTTCCTATGGAATCGACGATCGAGCGAACACGAGGTGCCTCTAATGAAAGGCAGGATGCGCCCGGGACCGGACGTGATGTTCTTCGCATACAGAAACAGTTCCAGAAACGAAGGAAACACCGTCGCTGGTCTATGATGATCCTACGCCTCCATCAAGATAACCGTGTCCTAAGTATGGCATAGCGAGAAGACGTCACTGGATAAATTTTTACGCCTTGACAACAGTTTGCGTATAATATTTGAGCCGGTTATTATGAAAGTGGTTTAAATGACGAAACCAACAAAATTGTGATTTTCATTTAGTATTATGTCGCACCAACTACATTTAATTATTATAACAGAATTTTTATCAAGTTGCCATGAAATAAACAATAAAATGAAGTTGCCATTTTCATTATTATCTGCTGCATATTTATATTTACTTTAATAGCGACGTAAGTCACTTATTCTTTTATGCGCGGCAATAGAAGAAGTAACATTGCCACAAAAACATAACTATCTCTACATATCCGAAGGATATTAAAAATTAATGAAAATATCGTAATAGATCTAACTTTACTATAAATCGTATGAAACTATAAATGATTTTTTCGACCGAGGAACTAGAAAAAGCAATGACCAAAGGTCAAAAATACTGATGGAAGACCAATTAACTAGTTAAAAATACAGTGAATACGATACATAAAAAAGCTCTATATGTATAGGGTGTTCGGCCAACTCTGAGAAAAATTTTAATGGGAGATTCTAGAGGGCAAAATAAAACGAAATACAAGAATATCAATTTCTTGACTGAGGCTTCGTTAAAAAGTTATTAAAAAATTAAATTAAAAAATTTCAAATCATTCTGAAAACATTATTTTTGGTTACGGAACTCAATTACAATCATTTTTGGTTAAAACATATACCTCCGAAACCCTACTTCCTTTTGAGAAAACAATTCGGGTAGGTGCTGAAAGTCGGCGAACAAAAAATTTTTCAAATCGTTCTAAAAAAATTATTTTCGTTTGCAAGGGTCGGTTATAATCATTTTTGGTCATTAGACATACTCTCAAAATTCTACGCATTTTCGAGAAAAATATTCCTTACCGAAAATCTAATGTGAGGCCAAAAATGTTTCCCTGAAAATGCGTATCTTTGAAATGTCATAACTTCTGAGCGGAATGGAGGATCTTAATGTTACAAAATGCAAACTACGCGTATTTTTACGGAGAATATGTGGAAATTTCAAAAATATTCGAAAAGTTATTCCTTGACTTCGCAAAATGAGAAAAACCCCATATAAATGGTCCAATTTTCAAACGACCATAACTCCTACAATAGTGAATATACTTCATTGGAACTTTGGGGGGAACTAGAGCTCATGGATACCTACAAAAAAGTATTAAACAACTTTTCTGTACAGTGCCAACCAAATTTATTAAAAATGAATTTTTAAGAAAAATTAACAAAGGTGTGGTACCTACAGTTTCCGACGAAAAAAAAATTTTAAATCGTTCTGAAAAAATTATTTTTGGTTGCGGGGATCAATTACAATTGATTAAAACTTCAATTGATTCTGCGGTGGAACTTGGTTCCTTAGATCTTTCGCTAAGAAGGAGTAGACCAAAATTATTTTATAACCTACAGTTGTTTTTATTATTCACTGACACAAGAAAAAAATACTTTATTGGATTTATTATCTTACATTCTATCAATTCATCACGAATATTTTAAGTTATTCAAGCGTGCTATATGGAAAATGCTGTATTTAAATTAAACAGCGAATAAATAATGAAATGTTAATTATAAAGTTGCAATCATGAAATAAATAATACAACTCTAAAACTAAATTAATTTTTGTTAAAGTTATTTTGTAATTTTTCTGTTTTCGTAGATAACATTTAATTTTTGATACAGTTTGCATCACGATGAAAAAATATTTATTAATATTAAATACATGAACTTAAACCACTTTCATAATAACCAGCTCATTTATGACATGACACTAATTTTGTTCCCGTTCAGTTGAGAATTGCATAGGTACAGTCTGTTCCTTAAACATTGGTACCATTATGCATAATTTATACAAAATATTTTTGAAAATCAAGCGATACGTGTAAGATTTTGTAATAAATTTATTGTAAATGAACACGCGTATAACGTTTATTTTTACCAAATTTTAACAAAATTGCGTAATTAATAACAAAAATTATATTAATTTTAATCTACATAGTACATAATAACAAAAGTTCACAAAAGTCTTCGTACAGGCGTACATTTTGTCGAAAAACTATATGCATATTACAATAATTTTATTACTCTATATTAATTGTTCAATATTTCGTCGGTCCACCTTAATTATTCAATTTTTGTGACCCTAAAAACCTAACGTAACATAAAAAAATATCAATCAATCGGATAACATTTTCTGTACACATATTAGTGCGGGCGAAAGATAAACAGTATTATTCATTTGTATTATTTAGTCAGCTGAAAGTGTAAAGTATATGTTGTCATAGAAAAAGTATTAAAAGTACTTTTGCAAATTATTTAATTGACGCTTTCTTTCTTAAATATATACCTATATCAATAAACACAGCAAATTATCAATCGAAACATTGTGTTCAGTTGGTAACAACAGAGATTTTCGTTGAGAAAAGCGATTCAGTAAAACGAAACGATCAATACCTATCAATGGGTCTTTCTGTTACAAACGAAGGTAGGCATAGAACGAAGTAAACGTTTGTTGAGAGTTCATAGACCCAGTCAAGCTATTATTTAAGTTGCTCCATTCAAACGTACATACTACCTAATGTAGTTATGCAACCTACAGGATAAACATAAATTTCTTAATATTCCTTTTAAAATTTTGCGATATTCTTAGATTCTTTCAGACAGAGTCATTGAATAATTGATTATTTTTTTCATTACCGTCTTAAGGAGTTACACCACATTGACGAGCTCAAAACAAGCGATATTTCTATGAATTTTTTACAAAAAGTGTGTGCGTTCAGTCGAAATGATCTACTTACTATGTATGAAGCATTTCTTGAACTTTTTAAAACAATTTTTTTTTAATGTTTATGTTTATTTATAACGGAGAAAGTGGTGTTATCTCGAACCATGCACGATACGCTGGTGTACGTAATAAGTCAAAAACCGTTCAACCGAATTTAATGAGATTTGATACAGATATTATCAATAACATTCTATAACCTTAAATGTTTAATGAGTCAATTGTGATATTAATTATCGTTGACATTAATCAATCATAATCTAAATTTATAGTTTATGATTACAAAGTGGATTTTATGCATATACAGGGTGTTCGGTCACACAAGGGAACAATTTTAATGGCAGATTCTAGAGGCCAAAATAAGACGAAAATCAAGAATACTAATTTGTTGATGGAGATTTCGTTCAAAAGTTATTAACGTTCAAAGTTCCGCCGGTACTAAATTTTTTTCTAGAAAGTGGGTAGGATTTCGGAGGTAGGTCTATTCGCCAAAATTTATTGTAATTGACTCTCGCAACCGAAAATAATTTTTCCAGAACGGTTTGAAATTTTTGAATCTTGTCGAAAAATTTCACACTTTCTTGAATTTTTTTCTCTAAAATGGGTAGGATTTCGAGGGTATGTCCAATTATAAAAAATGATTGTAATTGACCACCGCAACCGACAATAATTTTTCCAGAACGATTCGAAATTTTTTTTTCGCCGAAAAATTTCTTCACACTGATGATTTTTCTTAAAAATTTGTTTTTCATTTTTAATAAATTTGTTTGACGATCTACAGAAAAGTTGTCTAATACTTTTTGTAGCTAACCATGGGCTCTGCTTCAGAAAAAACTTTCTTTCAAATATATTCACTATTGTAGGAGTTCTGGTCGTTTGAAAATTGGACCATTTTTATGGGGTTTTTCTCATTTTGCGAGGTCAAGGATCAACTTTTCGAATATTTTTGCGATTTCTACATATTCTTCACCTAAATACGCATTGTTTGCTTTTTGAAACATTAAAATCGTCCAATCCGTTTAGAAGTTATGACGTTTTAAAGATACGTAAGAAATTTTAGAGTGACATTTCTGGCCTGAAATTATATTTTCGGTAAGGAATTTTTTTTCTCGAGAATGGATATGATTTCGGGGTTGCGTCTATTCACCAAAAATAATTATAATTGACCCCAGCAACCAAAGAGAATTTTTTTAGAACGATTTTAAATTTTTTAATTTTGTCGAAAAATTTCACACTTTCTCGAATTTTTTTCTCGAAAGTGAGTACGAATTCGAGGTTATGTCCAATGAGCAAAAATGATTATAATTGAGCCCTGTAACCAAAAATAATTTTTTCAGAATGATTTGAAATTTTGTAATTCAATTTTTTAATAACTTTTTAATGAAGCCTCAGTCAAGAACTTGATATTCTTGATTTTCGTCTTATTTTGGCCTCTCGAATCTTCCATTAAAATTTTTCCCAGGGGTGGCCGAACACCCTGTATAAATATAACAGTCTTACAAACCAAAAAATAACAAACCTCGAATTTCGAAAAAAATTATCCATGAATCTGATGTCTTGTAATAATAACAATAATTCTCTACCTATTGGACCAAGAAAAAATCGTCACGAAATTAAAAAAAAGGCGGGCAACTTTAATTCGATAAGAAGGCGGTGTAAAATTTGTTACGAAAAAAATGTTAAAAATTTAGGTTCTCAATTGGCAAGAAACTGTACTGTAAAAGTTGCAACATTCTGTGATAGTTGTGTGGATAAATCACATTTATGTTTGCCATGTTTTAACAAAGTTCACCGTAACATCCCTTTGTGATTGAATACAAACTTGTCACATAAATATAATATTAAACATATTTCAATTAAAATGTTTTATTTTAAACTAATATAGACATAATAGAAAAATATTATGTGCAAGGATGCGACTCGCTTGGTAGAGTAATGTTCAGCCAGGTATTTGTTAAACTAATTCCTAGAAAAATAAATGTATTGCTTTGTTGTGTTATGCATCTTGAACTATACACCCTTTTCTTGATAATTATGATTTTTGCACTATTTTAATCATTGTAAAATATACACCAGAAACAAAACAATACAATTGTAAAGCGTGGGGCGTATACGCCCCACGCGGCCTAAACGGAAAGTCTTCAAAAAACGGTCTGGCACGGAACGTGTTAACGCTTGAAACTATTGAAAAATTAATTTTTCATGCGTCTTAAAGAAACTGATATCCTAAATATGCCGCACTTCCCCTGTAACTGTACATTGCTAGTTCGATCGAGCGTCGCCGTTCTTTCAACTTCATTCAAATTCATCCGGAAGCACGGATGTTGAGTGGGTTTCGTGGAAATAAAAAATTCATGTTACGTCAATTTAAAAATCGATTATCATTGAGAGAAGATCGTTTTCTCGTGACGTGCGTGCGTTAATGGAATACGTGTCGCGAAGCGTGAAACAATAGCACGTGTTTCTGTCCTTGTTCAATCGAACGCCGCTAGGAATCGGTTCCTCTTGTCGAGGTATCCTTCGAGAGAAAGAGAGGACTCTCCTCTCTGTTAGTGCGTGCTTCACTCTCACGGATGACACTTTGTTCGGACTCCGCGACAACTTTTACCCGCAGCCACGGATTTCCATTCGTTCCCGGCGTTTCGAAGCGGGATGCTACAAACGTACTTTCTTTAACTCTCCGAAAATCTTTCGATTCAACGATAATAACAGTCATGTTTTCTTAACGCGCGTTCTTAAGCAGTATTTTTCGAATACAAATGGATGAACGTGCCGGTATCAGTGCGTTAAGAATTACAAAGTCGTTCCACTTTGCCGCTGGATGGATTTTCGATTTGAAACTGTGAATCATTTTGGCGCTATCGATCGCATCCTGACGCAAGATTTTGCGGGAAAAAAGTGACGATCGTGTGTAGTTATCATAAGAAATGAATGCCGAAGAGATAAAAGTTGGTTGCTTCCAAGTGGTCATCGTGTTCCTGCTGGCCATTAATTATGTCATAGTCGCTATGAGCCACGCGCTGCCAGTCTTCCACAATTACACGCCGAAATTTTATTGTCAGGTAAGCTTCTCGGATTTTAGTTTAATTTAGAGATGGCTTTGTTTCCTTTTTGTTTTGTTTGTCTAAGAAATATTTACTGCATTTTTCAAAGAATCCAATTATTTATTAAATATAACTTGATGTAAATTAAATTAGTTGCCATTAAAATAGACGAATAAGCAAAATGAACTTCAGTAGTTAATTGTTTCCAACAAATTGAGCATTGCAAAAAGTTGTAAGAATGTGTGCAATGTATGAAAAGTTGGGAATAAAAAATTAGAAGTTTGCAGATGTAAACTTTTTTAAAAAATAATAAAGGGTTAATGATCATATTAAACGAACGTAGTTTTACAAATATTATGTCTTGTACATTCGAACAAAAGTAACTGTCATGCATTCGGGAACTTTTGCTTGGCGAGAAGTACCGAGATACTTTTCTATGGCGAATCTGTCTTTGCATACAAACAAAAGCTACAACTTTACATAATGCGTAGCAGCAAAATACAGTACTTGTTGAATAAAGTACGATCTATTAAAAACAAATTGTACAATAAAATTGTCCAAACGTTTTAATGCCTTTTAAATTTCTTGATAACGATTAACAAGAAACAATTTACTCGCTCTTTGTATTAGTTCAGCTTAGTAATTATTTTTCAAATAAATCTTTCAATTGGAAATATGTTAATTAAGATTCCATATGAAATACTTCATGAAATAATGGTGTTATTTTTATATAGATTATTTCTCAAATAACTCTGGAAGTTAATTTAAAAATAATGTATTACGAAAATTTTGTAAAACGTCCACGTCTGAATAAAGCGTATTGAAAATTGAAGATTTGTTTTCCTATTATAGGAAAGAAATGGAACGAGACGAACGTACGGTTGTCAAGAACTTGGCAACGTGACCGTTGCAATCAATGGGACTTTCGGTCTCAAAGAATCTGTGGATTCTGACTTGTGTTTCGGTGATTATCAATTTGCAACCGAGTTCGGGGAAACTAGCGTAGTAACGGAGTGGGGTTTAATTTGCGAGAAACAATATTTAACGTTTCTTGGCCCAACTGTTTATTGTATTGGGGTTTTAATGGGTGCTTGGATCGCTGGTCTTTTAGCCGATCGCATAGGAAGACTTCCGGTTCAGGCGATTTGTCTTTATACACAAGGTACAATGGCCGTAGCATTATACGTTGTGCAGGTAAATAAATTCTTTTAAGTTTTCAACTTGCAGAATAGAGAACATTAAACATTTATAAATACAGTACACAGGGTGTTTGACCACCCCTGGAACAAATTTTAATGGGAGATTCTAGAGGCCAAAATAAGACAAAAAACAAAAATATCAATTTGTTGGTGGAGGCTTTGTTAAGAAGTTATTAACGTTTAAAATTCCGCCAGTATAGAATTTTTTTCTCGAAAATGCGCAGGATATCGGAGATATGTCTATTCACCAAAAATGATTGTAATTGACCCCCGCAACCGAAAATAATTTTTCCAGAATGATTTGAAATTTTTTTTTTCCCCGAAAAAGGCACCTATTCGAATTTTTTTCTCGAAAATGCGTAGAATTTCGGCGGTATGGTATTTCTGGACTCAGATTATATTTTTGGTAAGGAATTTTTTTTTCGAAAGTGAGTAGGATTTCGGGGGTATATGTTATGACCAAAAATGATTATAATCGACCCCTACAACCGAAAATAATTTTTCCAGAACGATTTGAAATTTTTTAATTTAATTTTTTAATGATTTTTTAACGAAGCCTCAGTCAAGAAATTGATATTCTTGATTTTCGTCTTATTTCAGCCTCTAGAATCTCCCATTAAAATTTTTCCCAGGGTTGGCCGAACACCCTGTATAAACGTCAATATAAATAAACCGTTTTTGTATTCCAGTTAAAATTAAAAAACCAGTCTACGTTAATCACATTTTAAATTTAAAAAATTGATTTGTTCACAAATTCAAACATTTTAAGAGCTGGCCAAAAAGGCTTGCAATTTATCTGTATAACATTTTTATACCGATAATAGTCTTTTCTAAGATCAATATTTTAATTAATTGACGTTCTATTGTATTTAGATTTTATTCTTATGATGTAAGAACGATTCTCTTTTTCCTCTTAAATGTAATATAAATTTTAGAACTACCAGACGTTCCTGGCCTTTCGTGGACTTCAAGGAGTCTTCGTTCAGGGACTACAGAATTCAACATACATTCTTTCTTTGGAATTGTTTCCTGCGAAAGCCCGGACTTTCGTCGCATTAGTAATGCAAATCGCATGGGCGATCGGTTTGGTGCTTTTGGCCGCGCTCAGCTACGTCATACCTGACTGGAGAATTTTACAGCTGGCAGTTTCGGTTCCCACAGCGGTCACCGTACTTTATATTTGGTAATTAATTTTTTTTATCACGAAAGAATCACATATGTATGTCAGTCTTATACTGTTACGAAGATACATACGTGACTACGATATTGAAATTTCTTTACGGAAATTTATTTGCCTTATTTAATGTAATTTCTGATTTAAGGGAATATTTTACTGCAAAACGCGTATTTTAGGTCCCCTTTGATAACCTTTTGATAAAGAATACAACTTTCTTTGTCCGAATTTCTCACACATATTTATGGGTAAATCGCTGAATTTAAACATAGCATCCATCCGAAAGCTATGAACTCGAGTACAAACAAAATGTAGTTTAATCTTTATTAATACAGTAACAATTATCTGATTGAACAATTGTTTCCCATTGGCGTAATTGGCGTACCTAATCCATTGGTTTAAAATTATTTAAAGATTCTTTATGAGCCGAAGTACTCCGAACTATACAGTATAGATCTTGATTTAAAAGACAGTAAATCGGAATTAATTGTTAATTTTACTTTTAGGATTATACCAGAATCGCCAAGATGGTTACTAGCAAAGGATAAAACGACAGAAGCAGACATGGCGGTGGAACGTATTGCAAAGTACAACGTTTGTTGCGCAAGATCGCGCAGGGAAAATGACGCCAAACCTGAAACAAGCGTAACCGAGAACTTGACACCGGTTAAGCCAGAAAGGAAGTCGCGTGTTTCATGCACGGATTTGAAGAAATCGAAAATCGATAGCGATATGAAAGAGGAAGCTACTAATTTACTGACCAATAATATGGACGTTGCTCAACAAAAAGTTCAAAGTAAGAAAGGCAATGATTATTCACCATATTTAATAGAAAAAAAAACATAGTAAAATGATAATAATAAAGATAATTTATTTAACAAAGAAAAAAATGTTAGTTTTATCTGGACTTTTTAGGATATCCTGAAAATGTTTTTACAAAAATTCTTTCAGATTTTCTTGACTGCTTTGATCAAACTCTAGAATGTCAACAAATAGATAAAATCGATACAACAATTTCTAATATTCCAAAAGTATGCTCGTTACAAGTACTTTTTATATGCCATATCGTCTTTTCATATTTTGGAGATGATCCTTTCGATCGCTTTGCAAGAAACACTTTGTATAATTCCTCCTAAATTGCTAAACTGATGACAATATTGCAACGTAGATGAATTCATGAATTTTGATAAATATTATTGATAAATATCTTGCGTGTATTTTTCAGAAACAAGTTTGAGGGCAATTTCAGAAAATCTAGAAAACAAGTTTTCGAAAACAGAGTTGGCATCAGAAACTTTTCAGTGCAGAAATGGAGAAAAGGAAAAGGGAAATACACCGTCGAGTTCAAAAAGTCATCGAAAGTCAAAATCGATATCACAGCCGGCCTGTAATCAACGATTATCCATGAAAAATGAGTACGATGTTGTAGAACTAAGAACACCCGCGAAAAAGAAAATGTTACGCAACAACGAGGAGATGATAAGCAGCAAAATTGAAGAAAAATCTAGTAATGTGAAAACGGAACAGGAACTGAAGAAACTATTTAAGTCCATACTAATGAGAAAATATGGCATAACATTGGTTTGTCAATGGTAAGATTCCAGGTACTTACTCTTTAGACAAAAAAATATTTGTGAAACACTAAACTGTTTTATAATCTTGCTACTAATAAATAGGTATCTATATTCTCTTGAATAACCAATATGTTTGCGAACATGATTTAATTTTCAAAGGCATTATAGACATTATAGACGATACAAGCATATCTTTATTTTTTGTTATCATAACTTTTGATCTTACAGTATAGATCAATGGTTTTCAAATATTTTGGGAGAAGACTCCATAAAGAAAAAAAAAATGTTTTTATTTCTTTTTAAACGTATGTATGATATAGTATGTTTATTTTCTATTTGTTCAAGGTTGACTTCTTCTATGGCGTTTTATGTTTTCATGGCACTTGTACCGAATTTATCCGTCAACAGGCATGTTGCTTTCGCACTTGGAGGGGTATTAGAAATTGCAACTTATGTATTGCTCTATTTTGTATTGTCTCGATACGGCAGACGAGTACCGATGTCTGTATATCAATGTTTGAGCGGTATTATTTGTATTTTGACGGCCGCTATCATCATTATGTCGAAGCCCATGATCGGAATCGGTATATAATTTAAATAACAAATACTTATTCGCAGGGCTGTCTTGACAGCATTTTTGACTCCAAGGCAGAATTGTAAATGAAGGCCCTTATCTATACAACACTTATAGAAATACAAATGTAGAAAATTGATAAAATTAAACATATGTTTATTTGCATTTCCTACAAAATTGTATTAGGCAGTTACAAAATTAATGTTTTGAAACTAAATTTTTGGTACTTTCATATACCAGTATTTCGATATTTTGGTTTCTACAAGGGTTATACGAACAGGGTGTTCGGTCACCCCTGGGAAAAATTTCAATGGGAGATTCTAGAGATTCTTGACTGAGGCTTCGTTAAAAAGCTATTAAAAAATTAAATTAAAAAATTTCAAATCATTCTAAAAAAATTATTTTCGGTTGCAAGGGTCGATTATAATCATTTTTGGTCATTACACATATCCCCGAAATCCTACGCATTTTCGAGAAAAAAATTCCTTACCGAAAGTATAATCTGAGGAAATGGTTCCCCGAAATTTCATGCGTATTTTTAAAACGTCATAACTTCTGAACGGATTGGACGATTTTAATTTTTCAAAATGTAAACTGCGTGTATTTTGATGCAGAATATGTAGAAATTCCAAAAATATCCGAAAAGTTGTTCCTTAACCCCGTAAAGTTGGAAAAACCCCATAAAAGTGGTCCAATTTTCAAACGACCATAACTCCTATAATAGTGAATATATTGCAATAAAACATTTTCCTGAAGTAGAGCTCATGGGTACCTACAAAAAAGTATTAGATAACTTTTCTGTAGGTCGTCAAACAAAACTACTAAGAATGGAAAATAAATTTTGGAGAAAAGTCAACAGGGTGAAGAAATTTTTCAACGAAAAAAAACATTTCAAATCGTTATGGAAAAATCATTTTCAGTTGCCGGGGGTCAATTACAATAATTTTTGGTGAATAGACCTACCTCCGAAATCCTACCCACTTTCTAGAAAAAAATTCAGTACGGGCAAAACTTTAAACGTTAATAACTTTTTATCGAAGCCTCAATCAACAAATTGATATTCTTGATTTTCGTCTTATTTTAGCCTCTAGAATCCTTCATTAAAATTTTTCCCAGTGGTGGCCAAACACCCTGTATAATAATTATATTGATCGTACAAATAATGATTTTTAGCAATTCATATAAGATCTAAAATTCTTATTCATTATTTATGGTTTTATTTTCAGATCTCGCGAAAACCATTCTGTTATTGCTTGGCAGAGTAACAGTAATGAGTGTAATTTCTATAGTGTATTTGTATACAATAGAGATATATCCAACAGTTGTACGAGGGACCTGTTTAGGCTTGTGCACCATTTTTGCGAAAATCGGCAGTTTGTGCACACCGCACGTATTATTATCGGTAAGATTCGCGTATCATTTATATGCTCTTGTACTCAGAATTCTTCTCAATACTTGTTAACCAATGGGAGGCTAGAAATTACATTTTAGACGCACAACTGTGCAAATTTTATTTAAAATCAAACAAAATATTATAAAATTAGTGAATTCATTTTAAATTAAGAATAAATGTAATTATAATTATTGTTTTTTCAAAGAAACTGTCCGACTTATTCGATCAGCGCAGCGGTAAGAATGAGGAAAATTTAAAAAATGTATTTAGGTACATTCGTTGGTAAAATTTTAAACTTCTATCATTTACATCAGAAACTCTATCAATACGGAAAACACGTTCTTACGAATATCCTAATTATCAATGTTTGTTTCAGGAAAAATACTTTCCAGTCACCGTTCCATTAATAATCATCGGAATGCTTTGCTTAGTGTCTGGAGCACTAGCTCTAATTTTGCCAGAAACTGAGAGTAAAATTTTACCTGATTCAGTAAATGATTCAGAGTTACTGGTCGTGAAAAGAAGAGAAAAGAAGAATAATGGGAATTTAAACAATGAAAACACGCACACAGACGAAGATCTCTCAGAAAGAGAAATACTTAGAGCAAAACTCTTCTCAGAAGATTGGGTGGATGCTGGAAATGGTATATTAGTAAATTTTACAGAGAATAAAAATTCTGAGTGAAAGATAGGTAGGATCTTACAAGATAAAAATAGATACAAATTTAATGTTGCATTCTTGAAAGGACTCAACTATCTTGATTACTAAGCAGTGGCGAGACTAGGAGATGAGAGAGTGTGGATCGCATTGGGTAACACCATCAAAAGAGAACACCAGAATGACAATTTACGAAATTTGTTAATCCTCGAGTTGAAATTCTTGTCTTTCTATTATCCTTCGCAATCTGTATTTTATTGTTTCATTTCATACAGGGTCAAAATATTATTCTCGCGTTGACCTCTTTAACCGATTAATTCTACTGGAAGGGTCCAAGAAAGTAACACTAACCCTAGTCACGCTACTGTCACTAAACATTCAATGTTCATTATTAATAAACAATGGTCAATAACGTTGATACAATGTTGTAGAACGAGATTGATTTATTTTATTGTTTACTTAACATATGTTTTATTATAAAGATTTGTTTATTATAATAATTTTTCTACTGGGTGGTTTGAACTGAATATCTGATTGAACTACAACAATATTTTAGTTTTCTTTATATCCATTTAGTATTTTAAGATTTATGATTGTGGTTTATTCATTATTACTGAAACAAACCAAAATTCAAATTGCATGTATGAAACAAATTTTCTTTTATTATATTTGAAAATGAATGTATGCAGTATTTTCGATAAAATTGTCTTTATAAATTCAGCAAAATATTCATCAACATGTATCATTGTGTACTATATTCTCCATAAAAAAGAACGTATTAGGTTATGATTATAATGTAGATTAATCTATATTTATTATTTGTTACATTAAAATATCAAATGTTAGAATAATTATAAAGAAACAATCAATTGTCACTGCCTGTTAAATTAAATATAAGTTTTACTATAAAAGTAAAATATTTATTAGAGAAACGATAAAAATTTAGAAATGTTATCATTTTAGATGATAAAATAATGTTAAATGATATTTTATTAATTTTTTTGTATAGAGTATTCATACATTTCCATTTGTAATTTCAAATTAATACATTGTACATAAAATACAAACTATACATACATGTGTAATTACTTTATAATTGAATTTTAAATAAGACATCCAAGTAAAAAATATAAAAATGTATGTAATCAATTAGAAAATAATGCATTAATAATGTGATATTAATATCACATTAGTAATTTAATTATAAAGGCCAAGTATTATGAAATATAGTTTGATACCTTTATGAACATACTACTGAGCAGATATAATTTTTATTACCTTGATTAAATTCTTTCAAAACAGAATCTTATGAGATGATAAATAAATGAAATCAAATATTATTTGAAATATTATATTTATACATAATATTTCAAAATAAAACGAGTAGACTTACTAAGGGTGTCAAAGTCTGCATTTTCGATGACAACCTTCCATCCCTTCCATTGTCTTGAAGCATAAATAGTCTATTCTATTCAGGTTTCAGCATCACTCGTCCAAAATCAAATTCTACAATTGGAGTGTCTTTATCTCAATTTGTTTACATTGGTTCCATAATATTAATAAACTTCACCAAACTCAATACATCTCAAAAGCTTAATTTTTGTAATCGATTATTTATTTACTTAAATTATGTTTTTTTTAATTATGAGAGGATCGATTTGTAATTTTGTTAAATACAAAGTACATACATTTAGTGTTTTGTTATTATAGTAACTTCTTTTAAAATATTAAATTTTAAATATAATTTATATATTAATGACAGATAGAAGGAAAAGAGGGAAAAGTATGACAGGTGTATAATGAACATAGAAAAGTACTTTATTTGTGATTTATCACAGTCAAAAAACATAACACATAAAACAATTCTGATAAGGAACTATATTATAGAAATAATCTTATGTGGTGTCACAGATTTTATGGACCCATTTAATACTGTTTTTTTGCATATATTACTCAAGGAACTTTAGGTTGTACAATACCATTGTTTTGAGGATTTACATGCTGTGTTTGTTCAGCAGCAGCTTGTAATAGTCTTGTCCTACGTCTGGTATAATGTTGCCATAATAATATTTGTTGATCATCTATAAATTTCGTACACTGAGAGTTTACTACTTCTCTTCTAAAGTGTTCGTATTGCAATAAATCTAGGAAATACAAACACATAGGATATTTTAAATATTTTGCGTACTCAGGTTCCTTCCAATATAACAGGTATTTGAGATAATTTATAAATGTTGCATCCTTAAAGTAACCACGTTGTGCTAGAACTATAATGTAACAATTATTAGTACATTTGAAAACAAATTAACAAAATATTCAATAATCATTATGAACATACAATTCAAATAGTTTGGATTAGCAAGACATTGAACAAATTCTAGTTCAACCTGAAATCTTAAACGTTGTTGCTCGTCAGTTTCTGGACCTCCTGAAAAATAAATTGAATATTTATTGGTAAATAACATTACTTTAATGTATATATTAAGTTTAGTTTATTACTATATCATTTTTAATACACTTATTAATATTGATACAATATCAATTCATTTATGATCTGAATATTAATTTTCTTATGTACAACTTAATTTTTTCTATCCTAATGAAGGTTAAAACTTTGCAGATCGTAATTGAAAATTTAATTCTGATAAATGTTCATTGACTTATTAGATATAACATATACTAACACAAACAAGTATTAAAACTATACAAAGGACGTATGGAACATGTAGAGTATTAAATAGAAATTGAAAGTGTAAAAATAATAAGAATGATAAGAATTCGATTAAGAAATACCGTTCATTCCAATGAAAGATGGTTTTCTGCCTTTCATGAGACTCGGAGGATCATCCAAACGGTTCATAGTACATTAATTCTTAACAGTCAATTATTCCTCATAACGTCCTGATAATAGAAACACATTTATATATTTTATAACAAAAATACACAACGAATACTTAATATGATTTGAACATTCATTAGGTCCAATAAAGTTCTTAAATATTACGGTATACCATTTACCAGATATATTCAGAATTTCCTCTTCCACTTTCGTACACTAATGCCCGATCGCGTGTGCGTGAGCTCGAATGAGTTTCGAATGGTCGAGAAAGACAGGTTGATACTTGCCCTCTCTCTCGACTCTCCGAAGCTGTCTGAAGTGCCGCGCACACTTCGGTTAGTTTCAAGGAGTCGTGAAAGAAGATAAATATGAAGAAAACTGAGTAAAGAATTATTTTATTATTTTAAGTATTTTGTATGCTTTTTAAATGTATACATTTGAAACTGTTACTAAACGTTACTTGTCAAAAATGGACGGTGTTCAACGCATAGTCGAACACTATTTGAATGCTCGCCAATGCGTTAAATGAAATTGTTAGATATCTCTTTTAACCTAAAGGTGCTCAAAATAAAAACGGAGAGTAAGCCTCTATCAACAAATTGGTATTCTTGACTTTCGTCTTATTTTGGCCTCTAGAATCTTCCATTAAAATTTTTCCTAGGGGTGGCCGAACACCCTCTATACCTTTCCTTATTTTTTATGGAACTTAGTTCATAAAAATCTATATATGTATATTAAAAATGATGAATTATTTACCGTTTATATTTTTATTCTACCATTTGCAGAATTGTTATTTCATTTGTAAGTTAAAAATCGTGTAAAATGATACCATAACAACAGATAAGATATAATCAATCAATTTATACATTAACAAGCGATATTGCCTTACAGATTAAATTCTTCAGTGTAAGAATCTAATTCGGCAATACGAATTATTTTTTTCGAAATAATAATGGAATGGTTTAACGATCATAAAGATATTTTTTATAAATAAACAAAAACCTGGTTTATTATTACTATGACGATATATTTATATCCAATTATGTTTACAGAAGTAAAGCACAATCTTACGGAGTCGTTCAACGAATATCTGATTCCCCTCGTAATTAACCATAACATTTTGCATATTATCGTAACTAAAATTGGACTCCTTGATGTCCAACGTGAGTATCTTTATCATAAAGCATAAATGCAGAAATTCACGAGAAGCATCTTCAGCTATCTTTTCTCTGAATCCCTCTTTATTGAAAGAAGACGTATCACATCCCATTATATTTAATTTGTCTACAAGTGCGTCATAATATAAATCCATGAGAATGTCGAGTTGTTCGTCTGTGACGTTGGTCTTGACACTCGAAAACAAATAAAAAAGTAAATCCCGTACACAACTACTGTATACGTATATTTGAAAATCGACAAATTTCACATCTTCAACCTGACCCTTCTCATTTCGATGAAACATTATGTTGTTCACCCAAAGATCAGAGTGAATAATTGTCATCCAAGGTTCACATGGGGTATCTGTCCAAAAATCCATTACTGCTGCAGCATTCAGTCTTTTATAGCATTTATCGTAATAGGGATTCATTTCCGGATCATCTTTTATTTTCTTCAATATCACAGCAAAGAAATCTTCGGAATTACCTTCTACTTCCCAGTTTTTCGAGTGCATTTTGAACACTTCGAAAATTTCGGGTTTCTTCAGTTTCATTGCCATACCTAAAGCGTGAAATCTTGCCAAACTTTTAATTGCCATTTCCGAATGCTCCAAATCGTAACCTACATAGAATAATCGAAACAGAAGAGTTTTCTTTCAAACGATGTTTTTGTCGTGTTTATACTGTGTATATGTTTGTACTAACACCTGAGAATCGTAGGAGGGCAGAAAAAGAAAAAGGGGGGGGGGGGCGGGTTTCGTTTGGGCCAGCTAGTCGACTCATCAGTAAGGCTTTCTAGCAGGGCCTGCCTTAGACGATTGGGATATTGGGAAGTCGATCGAGGATTGTATACAGGGTGTTCGGCCACCCATGGGAAAAATTTTAATGGGAGATTCTAGAGGCCAAAATAAGACGAAAATCAAGAATATCAATTTCTTGACTGAGGCTTCGTTAAAAAGTTATTAACAATTAAATTAAAAAATTTCAAATCGTTCTGGAAAAATTATTTTCGGTTGCGGGGGTCAATTACTGTTGGGTTTTATGGTGAAACAAATCACACCGTATTGCACGGGCACTAGTTTGAAATAAGAATATATTATCTTTTACATTTAATGGTAACAAAATAAACAACTATTTGGAACATTAATTAATAGAACAAAAAAATAATTGTACACTCATTGCACTTTTACACCTCATAGCAGAGAGAGTGATATGGGCGCCGTGCGCTCCTTATACATACAGCCCGCTATTGCGCCGTCTATAGTAAAAGGGCGCGATATTCGAGATTATAAATCACATAGTTTAACAATTACAATCATTTTTTATGAATACACATACCTACAAAATCCTACACACTTTAGAGAAAAAAATTCAGTACGGGCGAAACGTTAAACGTTAATAACTTTTTAACGAAGCCTCCATCAACAAATTGGTATTCTTGATTTTCGTCGTATTTTGGCCTCTAAAATACCCCATTAAAATTTTTCCCAGTTGTGGCCGAACACCCTGTATATGTATAGCAACGAGAGGTCGGTCGAGCGCTTGCGAGAGCGCAACCCCTCTGGTGGCGAGCTTGAGAGGCGACGCCACAGTACGAAAATTTTAATATTTTTATTTTGATTTATAATTTCTAAAGATGGGATTCTTCGATCCTCGAAATCTCGAATTTTTTGTTGGACTGTACCCTCCCCATTATTTGGGTTTTTCTAGATTTACAAAAGTTTTGTAATTTCCAGTTATTTTTTCGATAGAAATCACTTTTTTTTATTGTACTGCATTATCTTGCTGAAAGTATTTAGAATTTATTCTGTTTGCGAGACGAATATCACTGAGCAGATATGACAATTCGAATTCCATAAGGTGCCGACACAGACGAGGTATACGAGCACAGACGAGATATACATATACCTGGTCTGTGATACGAGTAAACATTTTACCTTATGGACTTTCGTGGCCCAATCTGACTGTCATACCGACTTGAAAATTCGGAGGTGATTTTAACGTCCCCTTTTCATGGATGGCGGTCAGTTCAGAAACTACGCACTGAATTAGGATTTATGGGCAGACGCTGCAGTGTGTGCGTGAATACATCTGAGTTGACTATGGAACGGATTAAAAAACGCAATTTTCAAACGACCATAACACCTACAATAGTGCATATATTTAAATGAAATTTTTTTCTGAAGTAGAACTCATGGGTACCTACAAAAAAGTATTAGACAGCTTTTCTGTAGACCGTCAAACAAAATTACTAAAAATCAAAAACGAAGTTTTAAGATAAATCGACAGGGGTAGGTGCTTAAATTTTTCGGCGAAATTGAAAAGTTTCAAATCACTCTGGAAAAATTATTTTCGATGGCAGGGGTCAATTACAATCATTTTTGGTGAATACACATACCTCCGAAATCCTACGTACTTTCGAGAAAAAAATTCTTTACCGAAAATATAAATGTGTGGCCAGGAATGTTTCTGTAATTTCATTTTCTGTCTTACTTCCTCTTGTGTTCGTTTGTGTAACCTGCTGGTAATATTATGAGTAACACGAAAATGATAATGGGGCTCTAGAGCCCTAGAAAAATGGGCTGAAAAAATACATTGGGTGAAAGGTCAAAAAACTCGTATACCTCGTCTGTGGTGCCGATATTTTTCTTCGTTTAGAGCACTACATATCGACAAAATATGGAACGATAATAATAGTATTTCAAATCTGTGGCGCTGCTTTGCTGCAAGGTAGGACCTCGTAAGAATCGTAGGAAGGCAGAAAAAGAAAAAGCGCGCGCGCGTTTCGTCCGGCCTAGCTAGTGGACCCATCAGTATTCAGTAAGGCTTTCTAGCAGGCCGTGCTTAGATGACTGGGATATGTATTGGGAAGTTGGTTGAAGATCGTATATGTATATGTATAGCAACCGAGAGATCGGTCAAGCGCTTGTGAGAACGCGACTCCTCTGGTGGCGAGCATGGGAGGCGACGCCACAAATCTCAAAAAAAACATTTTTTAAAATTACTTTACGTTTCCTTAGTACATTCAAAAATCATGTTAACGATTATACTATTTATATTATTCATATTGATTTGTTAGGCGTTATTTGACCCAGTACCTATTCTATTTTTTTAAAATAAATTATTAAACACACCTTCGATCCTGTTGCCATTGTAGTAGCCCTTGCTTTTCAAATTCTCCATAAGAAAGACAGCGTCGTCGTCTATATCACCATCCGGTTGCAAGGATAGTCTGGATCCATAAAAATACGGCAGAATGTGAGATATCTCACTCTCCTTTATTCCAGATTCGAGTTCTAGTTTATTATATGCTGGCACGATGGTCTCGTACATGAAGATCTCTTTTGTAAATGTTTGCGAACTATTAAAAATAAGCCTTTGGAATTCCGTAGGCGGTAACATTTTCGCGATGAGACGAAGATCTTCTTTCTTCCCTGTATTTCTATTTTTCAGTTCAACATCAACTTTCAGGATCGTACTTCCGTAATTCTCACCGGGTGGCAACAAGGGTTCGGTTGTAAAATTTTTAACGATCACACACTTTCCGAGCTTCTGTTGCAGAACAGGCTCTACGTCACGGAGCACAATTTCTTTCACCTTTTGGTCATTATTATTCATAATTACATGCGAAAATGTTCCGTCGTTTAATTTTATATTTACTGAACGCCTAGAGTAATCGCTGTTTGACGAAAGATACGACTAAAGAAACTGCGCGAAACAATTTATACTTCTTGTACTGATATCGTTTGAATTTATAAAACCAGTCACCAATAAGAGCTAGAGATTTCTTATCAATTAATTCAATACGTGTGTTAATGTGTAATTCGAATGTCAACGTTAAATATCTGCAAAGTAGTATGATATCAAATCCCAAATTACATATTGTTTCCCAATTTTACTTATCTTCCGTATCTACAATGATAACGATTGTTTCCTCCTAATGATCTCTCTCACTTACTATATACGATTCGTCTTCGTTTTAATTGGGCATTTTACAACCAGGAAGACTATTAAGAGGAAAATTGATTTTTTAAATATACATGTACGTTCATCACAATAATCTACTTATAGCCGAAAATATTTGTGACGCTTCGTTTATTTCTAATAAAAGTTCGTGAATCTGTTTCTTTATATTCATTATTCTTACATATTTAACGTCACTAACTTAAGTAAAAAAAACGTAGTACGTGTTCAACATAAATCACAAATGCTGCTTAAGCATCGCCAACACATTTGTTAACTATGTCTAAAATAGAATTCTAAGAAAATAAAGTGAAAGTGATCGAACGACCATGAAAAGAGCTTCTATGTAGTAGATAGTTAAAGACGCACACCGATTATACTACGTAAACACATTCGATTCCTTGCCGCCCAAACTCATCAAATCACCTTCTCTTATTATTTCAATTGATTTTCAATTTCATTCAAAATAAATTCAAAGTTTTTGCAGTAAAAAAGTTTCATAAATTTAGGTAATACTAAAAAGTCATATATGATAAGGGTAAATTTATTTATGGAAAAGTATAATGATACAAAAATATGGCATTTCTGTAATATTAGAATAGAAATTATAACAATATAATAACTCATCTCTATTCAAACAAGTATATAATATAGTGTTTTCATTTAGAAATAGCTTATTAAGTAAATATACACGAAAATCGTGCATTTGTAAAATCTTCGGATCCATCTTTTTAAATTTTTTCTATGTCAAACATTTAATATTTTCTTTATGTATAACACAGCAAAGTGTACATCGTATTATATCGATATTTTTCCAGGCTCGTCAATTAATTTGCTATGAGTGTCCCATAAATTCTGTAAAAAATAATATATTATAGATATTTATTGAATAATTAACTTTTATAAATTGATTTATCTAACTTATTATATCGCCTTCTTTTTACATCTTAATTATCTTACAACTAATTATTATGATAATCATACGAACTAAAATAATCCAAAATACCTAAATACAATATCTACGCATTTGATAAAATCTAGTGAACTATATTGCAAACATCTAATGTATCAATGAGCTATCATATGTTAAAAATCAATAGTCACTATATTCAATTACATATACAGTTTTGATAAAAACAAAATACAGATCTATTAACAATAAACAATACTGAAGAGAATAACTACCATTTTAATTGTTTTGTATTGAACGACGGGGGATTGCATCTCCATCTTCCTCAATCAATTTGTGATGTACAGCACTGAGAGCCTATATACCAATATGTATAAATTCATTGGAAAACTAATTCAATGAAACAATATTACAATTGAAATTTATATATCTTTCAATCTCAAAAACAAGGTGTACGAATTTGTTTAAAAAATCTTACAAATAGAAATGACTAAATGTATACCTTAAAATATTTTACAGTTTTCACACGCAATTCTAGCGTTGCATCTTCGTCGCAAATAATTATTGTACGAGGATGTTGTTGGAAAGCTGATACAGTCCACATATGATTTATACCTTCTTCTATCGCCTTATAAAGTGCGAATGCTTTATGAGATCCTGTAATAAGAATCATTACTTCTTTAGCATCCATTACCGTACCCACACCAACAGTTAATGCTTGCTTTGGAACTTTCGAAATATCATTTTCAAAAAATCTTGCATTGGCTTCCAATGTGTCTTGCGCTAATGTTTTTACTCTTGTGCGTGATGCCAAGGAGGAACCAGGTTCGTTAAAAGCTATATGACCATCTGGACCAATACCTGGGAAATAATATTTTATTATATTAGAAATTGATTTTTTTTTATAAATTTGTTCATTATGGTAAACGACATATAAATAAAAACAAATACCACCAATAAATAATTCAATTCCACCTGCTGCTTTAATTTTTCTTTCAAAATCATTGCATTCTTTTACCAAATCCGATGCATTGCCATCAAGAATGTGTGCATTCTCTGGATCAATATCTATATACTTAAAGAAATTATTATACATATAATAATGGTAAGATTGAGAGTGATTCCCAGGTAAATCAACATATTCGTCCATATTGAATGTTTTTACATATTTGAAGGAAATTTTACCAGCTTTGTAATATTCTATAAGTTTTCTATACATTCCCAAAGGTGTACTTCCTGAATAATAAATCAAAATAAATATGATTTATATTAAAAATTGGCATTATAAATTATAATAATTAAGAAGACACATACCTGTTGGAAGACCAAGAACAAAATATTTATTTTCATTTGGTTCAAAATCATTTATTTTTTTTAAAACATATTTGGCAGACCATTCTGCCACATAATCTACTGTATCACAAATTACTAAACGCATTTTTAATTTATACTATAAATAAATCTCCGCTTAACTAAAAACAAATACAATAGTATACGATACAGTAAATAAATTTATATTTAAAAGAAAATTTTGATTTGTAAAAATAAAATTAAACGCCTTTAATGATATAATTGACGCTTCAATTTATCGCATATAAGCAATGCATACTATAGTTTTACCAATTCCCAGTGAAATTTACGATTGTAATGTTGAGGATATCTTTATGGCAACGACCTTTTATCAAAGATGCCAGACAGAGCCCCGGGCCCCGGGTGCACCGGGGCGCTGTGGCCAGATTTAGCATAATTGAGTGCATCGACGTCGACACTAGAAACGACAAACTTCCTTAGCGTCTAACTGAGTGGTGGGGATAGCAGCATGCTACCGCACGAGCCACATGTATGTGAGCTCGACATTTCGTGCAATTTCGGGAAATCAAGAAAAAAGGCGAATGTCAGCCTTTCCTTCTTGCTCTTGTAACAGTTAAAACTCGACTTCGCGACAATCGGCATTCGATTAAAAAATCTCGATTCATCGAATGTCCCAGCATTCTGGGCACAACGTGTTTACATCCCCACTCCTGTTGCAGTCCGGCGACTCACAGGTATTGGTCGATAACGGTGACGAAGATCGGTGACGGGTGACAGTGAATTAGCGGACTGCAGCAAGAGTGGGGATGTTAACACGCTGTGCCTTCTTATCGTAGAAGGACGATACAATAATACAAATACCGTTTTTTAGCAATGTATTAAATTAAATATATTCATTTTCAAATACTGCTCTATTCCTCTTTTAATACTATTTTGTTATAATAGAAGAATTTATTAAATTTGAAATATGTCGAATTAAATTTCATCATTATATACAGTTAATAGTAAATAGTTTAGTGCAGAGTTTTGGTGGGAATCTGCGGTTAATGTTCCTGTTCGTGATAATTACACAATATTTTTTATGTTAAAGACATTTCCTTATAAGTACGGAAAAAATTCATAGCAATACAATGCCTGAAGTCACAATTAATAATGTCATTATTAATTTCCCTTTCAAACCATATCTTGTTCAAGAAGAATATATGGCGAAAGTAATAGAGTGCTTACAGAATAGTAAGAATGGTGTTCTAGAATCTCCAACCGGTTACAACTCAATCTTACTGTTTCATATTTACATATTATTGAAACATTAATTCTAATTAACATAAATATCACAGGCACAGGAAAAACTCTGAGCCTTTTGTGTTCTTCTTTGAGTTGGTTGTTAACAAAAAAAGCTCAATTACAAGCACAATCATTGGTCGGTGGAATAGAAACACCAAATTGTGGAGGACATTTCATTAAACAATTAAATAATGGACTTAAAGAAGCTACAGGCAAGTCAGATCCTTCTAGTAGTTTTAACTGGGCAGCGCCGAAAATTATCTATGCATCCAGAACGCATTCTCAGCTCTCACAGGCGATGCAAGAATTAAAAAAAAGTTCTTACAAACATGTAAGTGTAGCTGTACTGGGGTCAAGAGATCAACTTTGCATTCATCCAGAAGTTTCCAAAGAGACCAACACTTTGAGTAAAGTACATATGTGTCATTCTAAAGTAAAGTCTAGAACATGTTTTTATTATAACACAACGTTGAAACAGGTAAAATGTTTTGCTAATATTTTGTAAGTTTTAATAAATATTTGTTAGCTTTTCAAAAGCATTAATGGAAAACAAATGTCTTTAGAAAAGAAGATCCTTTCTTCAAACGAGAATTATTAGATATAGAAGATTTAGTAAAAGCTGGTCATAAATTCAAATGCTGTCCATACTTCTTATCCAGAGAACTTAAACAAAATGCAGATATAACATTCATGCCATACAATTACTTGCTAGATGTAAAATCACGAAAATCCCAAAATATAGATCTGCAAAACAGTATTATTCTTTTAGACGAAGCACACAATATTGAAAAGATATGTGAAGAAGCAGCATCGTTACAAGTATACATTAAATATGATAATATGTAACAGAAATCATTATACTATATATACGAATTATTTATGATACACATATGTGTTTAAAAAATATTAAAGTCTGCCAAGAATAAAGAAGACGTATGAATTTTATACAAAATTTTTCTAGATATGTAGTACAGATATTGCAATGTGCATTGATGAATAACAGCAGTAATGGAAGATATGGTTAACAATGTTGAACAAAATGATCTTTTTATGGAAAATTCAGGAAATGTGCAAAAAGATTTTACTGCAGATGATTTATGTATTTTGAAAGCAATGTTTTTGGAATTGGAGAAAACCATCGATTCTATAAAAATCAATAAACGCGATGTGGGAGATACGCTTCCTGGTGGATATATTTTTGAATTACTAGAAAAAGCACAAGTACTTATGAACTAGTTTTTGAATGCATCAAATATTTTTATGATATTTATATTTCATCATAGTTTACTTGACAGTTAACCCATGGCAAGGAGCAACTAGTAATAGAGAAATTAGATAAAATTGTATTTTACTTAACAACTACAAGTGCCTCTCCATTTACAAGGAAAGGCAATGCGCTTCAAAAATTTAGTGATTTGCTAAGAATTGTGTTTAGCAGTGGTAATAGCTTACACTACAGGGAAAAGTCAAACAATGTTATAAAGTATATATTCAATTAGAGGAACAAAAAAAATTATAAACACGATGTATGGGAAACGAAGAAAACCATTTTCAAAAATGAAGGCAAAGTTATCAGTTATTGGTGTTTTAGTCCAGGTTTCAGGTAAAATATGTATTATATTATTAATATGCTGTTTTATTTATTTTAACTATAATGATACATATATTTTATAAAGCATGCAGCAGTTAATGGAACAAGGTGTACGCTCAATGATATTAACAAGCGGTACGTTGTCTCCATTAAACCTTTTATATCCGAACTTGGAATACCAATTGAAATCCAATTGGAAAATTCGCATATTGTAAAGGAGATCAAATTTGTGTGGGTATTCTTAGCCAAGGTCCTGATGGTTTCGCTTTAAATTCTTCTTACAACACAAGGTATTTTGATTAAAAATACATTCACAATATTGTGTACATATTGTGAATATATTTAATATATTACTCAGATTATATAACTTCTTTTAGGAATGATCCAAAATATATAGGATCTCTTGGACGAACTATATTTAATTTTAGTTGTCTCATACCTCATGGTCTATTAATTTTTTTTCCTTCATATCCAATAATGAAAAAGTGTAAAGAAGAATGGCAAAACACAGGTTTGTGGACAAAATTGCAGACCATAAAGTAATTATTTTTTATATTTATGTAAGATATTATTATACAAATTTATATGTGTAATAGAACCATTTTCTTATATTTACTAGCCTATATATGTCGAATCTCAATATAAAGATGGTTTCATAAATGTTTTAAATGAATATTGTGAAAAAATCAAAGACCCTTCTTGTAAAGGAGCTATCTTCATGGCAGTTTGTAGAGGCAAAGTGAGTGAAGGACTCGATTTTGCTAATGCAAATGGTAGAGCTGTGTTAATTACAGGTCTTCCATTTCCACCTTTGAAAGATCCAAGAGTTATATTAAAACAACAATACTTGGAAGAAATAAGAATTAACAACAAAGAAGTAATTAAAATTTGAATTTATATTAAAATATCGAATAGATTAAATTTTGTCTTGTATACTTTAACTCTTTGTAGGCTTTGTCTGGGCAAGAGTGGTATCAACTCGAAGCATCACGAGCTGTTAATCAAGCTATTGGTCGAATAATACGCCATAAAAATGATTATGGTGCTATTATTCTTTGTGATTGTAGATTGAGAATCCAGGTTTCAAGAAGTATTTATCTGCTTGGCTAAGGCCTCATATAAAAAATTTTACTAATTTTGGAGTAATTACAAAAGATTTGAGAGATTTCTTTAAATATGCAGAACACACTGTAAGTTTTCTTTCTTTGTTTGTACAAGTATTAATGCAAATGTAACTATGTTCGCTAAAAATTTTATTTTTAGTTACCCCAACCAAATATGCAATTTAGAAATAATAGTATTTCGTTACCTGCAATGGCAGCATCTTTTGATACAACTTTGTCGCGAACTGCACAAAATCCTTTGAAACACAAGTCTAAAGTAACATCTTTAGTAGAGGATACTTTTAATATAGATTTATATACTAATGAAAATAAAGAAGCTGGTAAAACAATTGATGTAAAGAAAAAAAATTTCTCTGAGCTTTTAGCAACAAAGTCGAAGCCTATAATTAATTTTAGCGATTGCAAATTAAAAGAAAATTATGTTACCTGTGAACTAACAAAGAATACCACAGAACCAGTTACAAAAAAAAGAAAAATAAAAATGTTACCTATTGAATTCAATGAGTGTTTGTCTGGTCCTTCTACGTCGTCTGCGTGCACAAACAGTATAATCAATTTAAAATATTCTCAACAAATTTCTGAAGAATCGAATGATACTGATAAAAAATCTTTAGGCAAAACATATTTAAAAGCGGTAAATATGCAATTATAAAATATTGTTTAAAAAGGAATATTTTACAATTTAAATGTCACGTACATATACAACGTACTTTTAGGTAAAACGTTCTTTATCGGAAGCTGATTACAAAACATTTGCAAAAATGATACAAAATTATACGAAGACAGGTAACCTTGAAGAGTTGCTGAAAATACTTCAAAACATATTTCCACAGAAAGAACGGTTTCATTTGTTTATAGGTACTTTTTTAACATTAGTATGAGAACTAATTACATCATACTGCTAATTATCGATAATTCAAAAAATATATGAATTTTTAGGGTTTAAACATTTTTTAAAAAAACAACATATAGTTGCATTTGATACTCATATTGCTCGTTTAAAAAATGTGCAGTTAGAAAATTAAAACTTCCAGAAAATGAAAAAAATGATTATTAAAAATATGATACAAGTAAGTAGTAATGAATCACAATATATTTTATATTCTAAATAATCTTTTTTAATCACGGAAACCTGTACAAATTTCCAAAATTTTCAATTATTTGTTTATATCCAGAAGAAACAGAGTACTACAAACTGAGTGTAAATTTATACATATTGTTAAAATATCTTTTTCTTCTTTAAAAAATGTTGCGTTGAACTCCTTGTCGTCACTCCGAACTTATACATTTTTGATACACGGAATCATAGTGCTCTCATCGTAGAATCGCCACTTGAATCGCTGTCAAATATAAACATCTATAACATATTAACGGTTACTACTCTCTACGTTACAATACCTTTAAGAAAAGGCCTTACGCCATTAGATTCGTTAATCTCGACACATGCGTCTTTTTTCAGAAAGGCGTTGACGCTAACATATGTAATATTTACAAACAGTTCTTATTATTCTTATAAAGAATCAAATATTATAAAACAACCATAAACCATTTAAAAATACAATATAGTTTCATTATAAATTGATTTAATTTCATATTTATGTACATGTATGTTACATTTTGTCTCCCACTATATATAACATTTGGAAAAAAATATTTTAAAGCACCAAGTACGGAAAATTAATTGTAGCAAATTATAATATTTGTTATTGAAGATTATAATAATATTTAAATTATGTCAAGTAATACATACATTGCTTTAAAAAAAAACCATTAATATCCACATATTCGAACATGTATTTTTTCATCATTATATGTATTTTTTAGACAAATACTAAAGTACATCATTCATAACGTACGTCGACATCGGAATGTCTTCTATCTAATATTTTTGTCTACATGCGTTTAATGTATATTTTTCTCTCTTTTGTTATAAATCTTGACATGAAAATGAATTAAATATTACTTTAAAAAAAAATATATATATATATCACTTATTTTGAATTAATGTGTTATTTAATGAACATATAACATTAATGTTTGCCTTATACATATTGGTTAAAATTGCAGTTTTTTACAACTGTGTGGTATGAACTCCACTTGCATCTTTATTATTATCAGTTTGTGTTTTTATAAGTGCATTAGTCACGATTTCTTCATAGTAGTCTTCAAACACACGTCTATTATAAGTAATGAGTATTAAAAACTGAGCTGCTATAGCTGTCAGCTCCTCTTGAAGCGATGATAGCCCTGGTGGTACTTGTAGTGGTTCTGAAGATTTAGACAGCATTATCTTTTGTAAAAATTGTCGAATTCTGAAATCTGAAAATGTATAAAAAAAAGAATAAAATAAAAAAACCAATTCCAATATTCGAATTATAAAATTTTGCATGCAATACTCACTTATAAGGTGCCTAATTTTATGTTCTGGTTTAATAAGTTCTAATATTTGTCCTTCTAATAATATTTCCAACTCTGGAGATAATTGAGCAGAATCGATCTCTTCTAATGTCGTTCTTACGTCTGCTTTTACTTGCAATACAATATTCGGCATTACAGTTTCCAAATCTCTAATAACAGTATATGTATAAAATTCAACTTATAACTGTGTTGTTTGTGTATACAATTGTAAATCATTTTGTACATACTTATTTGAATGTACAGAATCCAACAGCACAGTAAGATGTTGTTTAATATTCTTCTTGAACCTTGATACTCCATGAATTGGTGCACCCACTGTATTGTTTACTAGCAATATCACAGCGCCTATAATGCTTAATCTACTGGTCTTATCACGCAATTCTAGTAACCTATCCTGATCAAGTAATAAAGTCTAAAAGAAGCATATAAAATAAAATAAATATTTGTAAGATTATTAATGTACGTAATGTAAAATGAAAACATGTGCCATTCTAAATGGATTGCCTGTAATTTAATATTCTTAAACATACTTCTGTTTCTGGAATGAAATCCCACTCTAGAAGATCAAGATATGCTTCAGTTAAAAGACAATGTGTGATTTGTCGTATATTATCAACATCTACTGAACTGTCTGTAACTTTTGTAGGATCGAAATGTCTTAATAACCACTTTTCTGTATAATTCAAACCATTTGCACAGATTTTGAAGAATTCGGCAAACTTTGCTTTCTCATATTCAATACTCGAAGCAACTATGTTTGGTCTCATCATGGTAATAGTAAAATTTGCCAGATCAAGTTGCATTAACTGCAATATTTCCATTATACCTTTAAATATTTCAATAACATCTGTTTTTTGACTGAGCTCTCTAATCTTTCCATCTCTTACTGGTGCACATACTTTACTCATAATTGAAATCACATATTGTGCATAATGATGGAAATCTAAAACACCTTTTTCTGCTTGTTGTTTGATTAGATCTACATCAAGTACTTCTTTTAAATTTTCTCGAATTTTTGCATGGTGTGGCAATACCAATTCATTTAATATCTATAAAGGAAAAAAGGAAAAATTATTGAAAATTGTACAAACCTTATGCTACTTTAGAAAATCAGTATGAATATATTACTTCTTTAATTTCGTTTAATAAAACCATCGCCTGTGTATAGTTTGGAGGATCTTCAGCCAATTGCTCGGCTAATAGATTCCAAAAAGCTGTATGCATAATTTCTTTGACTCTTTTGTAAAATGTACCATCTTTATGCTCAAACTTCTGTAATTGAAAATTTTTGTCCATTGCAATTTCGTGAGCCAAAGTCATATTTTGCATATCGTTAACAACTTTTATAATTTCTTCAAGGGGAACAAATTTTGGCGGCGATGTTCCTACTAATCTGGATGTCGTCAAATTTGAAGTTTTTTGCCTATATAATAGGAAGTACATTACAAACCACACTATTAAAAATTTAAATAATATTTATTATACAATGAATAAATGATAATTTGAATAACAGTTGAATTTACCCTGTCGCAATACCCTCTTCTGGATCAGTGTTAGAATTAGACTGACATTCTAAAGGTGCAGATGCACTGGCCTCGTTTATATTACATTTCTGTTCTTCGTTACGTTCCATTTTTTGATTCCTTTAAAATACATCTTGTTATATTACAATATTTAACAAATATTATGTTTACTGTAACAAATAATACAGTTGATATTATTAAAACATTAAACATTATCATATTGAAAAAATACAACATTAATAATGAATATAAATTAATTGTTAAATCAAATAATATATTAGTGATAAACATAAATATTCAAATTGGGAAATTTTATTCACACATAACTCTACAGGGTGCAGTTGAATAACATGTACTAGCGGGCACATGGTGGTTCCTTATGAAAAAATAAGAACAAAATATGAAATAAAATTTTTTCATTTAAAGCTTTGATTTCGAGAAAATTGAGTTTGAAAATCCTATTCATACGTATGCTGTTACGGCTAAGTTGCGGTTCGTTGAGCATCGTATAACGCGTACCGTTTTTATAAACAATAAACCCAGCAAAAGTTACAGAGTTCAAGAAAAAATACACAGAAGACTTTTAACGAACAACAAAGCATTGTTTATTATAACGTAACGTAATCTAACAGTATACGTACGAATAAGATTTTCAAACTCGACTTTCTCGAAAACTAAGCTTTAAATGAAAAAATTTTATTCCATATTTTGTTCTTATTTCTTCATAAAGAACCACCTCGTGCCGGCTAGTACATGTTATTCAGCCGCACCCTGTATAATTAGAAAATATAAATAGGTATAAAAAGTACTATATATGTTAACCATTTAATACTCCTGATACACAAAGGCACACTACAGATCAAAACAAAATACCAGGAATGAAACTTAATAACGCCATTGATCCTGGAAGTTTGCGACTAATGAAGAGGCAGCAAAGAGTAATACCCCATATTACTCCAGCGCCAACCAAAATTTTATTCCTAATAAAATAGCGTTTAATTGTGTGCATAATAATCAACTTTATTTGAAATTAAGTAAAATGGTTTTAAAAAATAAAATTAAATTGTAACTCTACAAATTTCAAAAATAAGAAATTTTCAGTTTATACATATATAATTATAATCTCATCTTCTGTTTAAAAAGTAAAAAGATTAAAAAATGAAATGAAAATGATAAATAAAAATACCTAAGAAATACATTTCTTTAAGTGAAATACCTATTTTATTACGAAGTAGTCAATTCAAATTTGCTTCCAAAAATGACACTACATTTTATTCAATGAAGATAATATAATTATATATTCACATAATATATATTATAAATTATTAATGTAGGAAACATACCTGTCTGGCATGATTAATATTAGACTTAAATGTTTTGTTGCAGCACAACCTATACTCAGAAGCAGCTGGCAGTTGAATACACTGGTTAATAAAGAAAAGGAGGTCAAACCTTGTCTATAAAAAGAACATCCACAAGGTACATATAAGAATTACCCTTCCTAATTGATTTTAAAGAAATGGCATAATATTTTTTGTATTTACAATAACTTGCCTTATACTTGTGCGTTATGCGTTTAATATATAAGATATTTCAATTATCACTATTAACATATTTGATATTGTAATGTACTTTGTAAATATTTAAAATTTTTTCTTTAAAAAAAATAAACAAACAGAACTTTCTATTCATCTCTTAATTTCATTTATAATTACAATTTTTAAACAGTATCTATTTTCAATACCTTTGATTAGAAATACAAAATTATTTTGAAAATTGAAAGTTTAAATATTTACGAATTACATTACGTATTTTTCTTATCGCGCAACACTTTTTAGACAGTTCAATACAATTACGCATTTATCAATTTGATTACAAACAAAACTGAAGTAATTTTTGTCCATAACATGACTCTAAACATATCTTTTCGTTTAATAACTGGGAAACGCTATGAAGTTGATTATGTAGCCGTAATTACTTCTAATTTTCAATGTAATTACAAAGACATAATTGCACATTTACTAGAAAGTCAAAATGTATAAAATGAAATCTTACCTGCTCAATATTTTACTAAAATATTTGGACACTCATTATAATAAAGTTCGTATTTCTATGGTAAATTTATTAATAATTTTATATACAAATCATCATGTCCAGAAATCAGTAACGTCCCAAACAGCTGTGTATTGTGTATTTACAACTTTCTAGCTAGGTGATGTTCAACAGTGAAGTTAGGCATGAATTCTGTTTCAAACAGTAGCGTCATCTGCAAAATGTCTTTTTTGCAACGTTACCATTTCTCATAATTATCTTCTATATTCATTTATATTTAACTGTTAAAATATGTTTACTATTTAAAATATCCTAAGATATATAATTTGATCAGTGGTGATTTAACAAATTAACGTGTCAATAATTTGTTATTTTTTATAATTTTCTAAAATTTTAAAGTATGATAGCTACACCACACAGTAATATATTACTCTGTAATTACATTCTAAATGCTGTTTGAATGCATTTTTTATTTATTTAGGAAGATGTGTATAATTTTTAAGCAACTTTGAAATAATCATAAAATATACATTTGTGTCACAATAGATATAGAATAAATCCATTTTTATATGTTAAAGTTGGTTGCATATTTTGATATGTATATGTACACAAGTTAAAAATTCGTAATCGTATCGTCGCAATAATACGCATGAAATCCGAAAAGTTTTAAGATATACGCAGAGATGCCAGAAGAGCACCGTCGGGTGCACACGCACACATGCCAGATACGCGTACGTGAGCTCGTGGAGTTTCGGAAAGTCGACAAAGGCAAACTGACGCATGCCCTCTTTCTCGATTCTCCGAAGCTGCCCGAAGTAATTTCGGATCGCCTCGTGGCAGTCGAGAGAGGAAGGCTCACATTTGCCTTCTCGCTCTAAACAACTGAAATCCGACCTCCCGTCAACGGCATACGATTTGGATTCTCGAGCCGAGATTCTCGACTGCCCAGGCATTTTTACTTTCCGACCTATGTAGGCGCACATAAGCAAAGTACCCATAATGAAAAAAAATTTTGTAAAATTTATTTTACGGAAATACACGTTTTAAGACCTCCTGATCATATTTTAATTATTGAAAAAAAAGAAATTTTTTTTTATTAGTCCCATGTATGAGCGTACGTATGTACTGTCCTCCGCTCACTTGAAGTCCCGCGAGACGGCACAGGGGCAAGGGGAGTTGGACCGCCCATTTATCTGTCTTGCTCACTTGCTCTCAGGCAGTCCACATGTGTGTGTAACTGCCGCGACGAATAGCGAGCTAGAGACCAATGTGTGCGTGGGAATACGTGTGCCCCTTCTACTTCTCCCGCATTCCTTCCGCGGGACTTCAAGTGAGCGAAGGACAGTAGATATATTATTAATACGATTTTTGAAAATCAAAATACTTTAAGATTGAAAATTAATAAATTAAAATGAGATTCCACTCATTACCAGTATTGTGCACGCTGTGGTATTTTTCAATAAGAAGAGTTCTTACTTTTATAACATAAACAAAACAGTAGAATTAATAATTGCAGAAATTAATTATTAATGATTTTCCTCGATTGTTTTGAAATAACCGTATCAATTTGTCATGACGAACTAAATAGAACTAACTAGAAACAAAGGAAAAATGATCCCGTTTGTCAGTTTAATACAAAGTATGGGTTGTATCTTAAATTTTAAAAGGACATAGTCGAATATTTTTAAAGGTACAAAACATAGCGTTTCATTGTAGAACAGTAACATAAGTTAGCAGGTAATGTCATAAAACTGTTTTTCCCAGCTATATCCCTTTTTACCTGAAGTATAAGGTAAAAAGTACGAGCTACAAGGTACGACTATCCGAAAATCGTTCACATTTTATCAATGTAAATGAAGCGGCCTTTCCATCAGAGTTAAATACAAAATTTTGTAATTTCTGTGAAAACAAAACTTTCAGTAAATGTACGTGGTGCTTGAAATTTTTATGTTTTGACTGTTTTTGTGAAAAGTACCATCCAGATTCATGTACTTCGTACATTGAAAATAACATATGTTAAATGTAATCGGTTAAATTTAACTTTAAAAAAAAATATTCGAAGGTCAGACAAAAATATAATGTCACATTTAGTGTACGATTAAAATATGATTGAAAAAATAAAAAAAAAGGATTTGTTTTGGCAGGGTTTGAACCAGCAGAGCAGAAGAAGTTCGGAACTTGCAGGCAAAGACCTCATCACACACGCCACGCTGATTAGTGGTGAACATAGTTCTATTTCTAAAAATAAGTACCTGTAATAACTTTAATAATATCTCAAAGTAAAACCTAACCCAAAACCTGGTACCATTCCAACTTTTCCTTGTTAGAAACGAGTTTTCAATTTGTCTTAGCGAAAATCGCATTTTGCACATTATTCTAAAACATTTGTGGTATTCGTTTTCAATGCGATTTAAGTAAGCATGTAATGTATAAGATTTCATTTAATGTTTTCTTTTCTAGAGAAGATAGAGAAAAAGTTTATATAAAATGTGAACGATTTTCGGATAGTCGTACCCTGTAGCTCGTACATACTTTTTACCTTATACTTCAGGTAAAAAGGGATATAGCTGGGAAAAACAGTTTTATGACATTACCTGCTAACTTATGTTACTGTTCTACAATGAAACGCTATGTTTTGTACCTTTAAAAATATTCGACTATGTCCTTTTAAAATTTAAGATACAACCCATACTTTGTATTAAACTGACAAACGGGATCACTTTTCCTTTGTTTCTAGTTAGTTCTATTTAGTTCGTCATGACAAATTGATACGGTTATCCCAAAACAATCGAGGAAAATCATTATTAATTAATTTCTGCAATTATTAATTCTACTGTTTTGTTTATGTTATAAAAATAAGAACTCTTCTTATTGAAAAATGCCACAGCTTGCACGATACTGGCAAAGAGTGGACTCTCATTTTAATTTATTAATTTTCAATCTTAAAGTATTTTGATTTTGAAAAATCGTATTAATAATATATGTACATACGTACGCTCATACATGGGACTAATAAAAAAAAATTTCTTTTTTTTCAATAATTAAAATATGATCAGGAGGTCTTAAAACGTGTATTTCCGTTGTGGCGGCCAAGGCACCACATACGCCTTAGCCGTTCGAAGCCGCTACAATGTATGGTTGCACACGAGACGATGGTTGCACACGAGACGACCAGAGCCGCGTGAGCCGAAAAGCCGTTGTCGTCGTCTCTGACCGTCTTTTGTTTTTGAAGGCCTCTTGGTACGGTGGCGATGATCGTACCAGAGAGTCGAGCGTAACCCGCACCACGAGTCACGTCGTTGTACGACAGCAACAATACAATTGTGCGGAACGGAACAGAGCGGAGTCATTATCTTCCCGATCCCACACCGTAAAATAAATTTTACAAAATTTTTTTTTCATTATGGGTACTTTGCTTATGTGCGCCTACATAGGTCGGAAAGTAAAAATGCCTGGGCAGTCGAGAATCTCGGCTCGAGAATCCAAATCGTATGCTGTTGACGGGAGGTCGGATTTCAGTTGTTTAGAGCGAGAAGGCAAATGTGAGCCTTCCTCTCTCGACTGCCACGAGGCGATCCGAAATTACTTCGGGCAGCTTCGGAGAATCGAGAAAGAGGGCATGCGTCAGTTTGCCTTTGTCGACTTTCCGAAACTCCACGAGCTCACGTACGCGTATCTGGCATGTGTGCGTGTGCACCCGACGGTGCTCTTCTGGCATCTCTGGATATACGTGACATTGTCTTCCTTGGAAGGTGATATGAATCATTGTTGTTCACCTTGAGCTTGACAAATATTGCATACGTTCCAATTATAGTCGACTCTAGTGCCAATAAATGAACTCGGTTAAGCGTTCTTTATCGAGTAAAACTGATTAAATTATATTTGGATAATACAAAATAATTTTTACGACTTGTTCATATTATTTTTAAACTTACCAACTATGTAATTATTTTCAGGGAATAAAATAATAAAATATCCTTCATTTGTTTTGTTTGGGAAATTACTAGAATTTATTATGGTACGCCTGACAGGCATTTTTACTTTCCGACCTATGTAGGCGCACATAAGCAAAGTACCCATAATGAAAACAAAATTTTGTAAAATTTATCCTGATCATATTTTAATTATTGAAAAAAAAGAAATTTTTTTTTATTCCCATGTATGAGCACACATATGTATATTATTAATACAATTTTTGAAAATCAAAATACTTTAAGATTGAAAATTAATAAATTAAAATGAGATTCCACTCTTTACCAGTATTGTGCACGCTGTGGTATTTTTCAATGAGAAGAGTTCTTACTTTTATAACATAAACAAAACAGTAGAATTAATAATTGCAGAAATTAATTAATAATGATTTTCCTCGATTGTTTTGAAATCACCGTATCAATTGGTTATGACGAACTAAATAGAACTAACTAGAAACAAAGGAAAAGTGATCCCGTTTGCCAGTTTAATACAAAGTATGGGTTGTATCTTAAATTTTAAAAGGACATAGTCGAATATTTTTAAAGGTACAAAACATAGCGTTTCATTGTAGAACAGTAACATAAGTTAGCAGGTAATGTCATAAAACTGTTTTTCCCAGCTATATCCCTTTTTACCTGAAGTATAAGGTAAAAGTACGAGCTACAAGGTACGACTATCCGAAAATCGTTCACATTTTATCAATGTAAATGAAGCGGCCTTTCCATCAGAGTTAAATACAAATTTTGTAATTTCTGTGAAAACAAAACTTTCAGTAAATGTACGTGGTGCTTGAAATTTTTATGTTTTGACTGTTTTTGTGAAAAGTACCATCCAGATTCATGTACTTCGTACATTGAAAATAACATATGTTAAATGTAATCGGTTAAATTTAACTTTAAAAAAAAATATTCGAAGGTCAGACAAAAATATAATGTCACATTTAGTGTACGATTAAAATATGATTGAAAAATAAAAAAAAAGGATTTGTTTTGGCAGGGTTTGAACCAGCAGAGCAGAAGAAGTTCGGAACTTGCAGGCAAAGACCTCATCACTCACGCCACGCTGATTAGTGGTGAACATAGTTCTATTTCTGAAAATAAGGACCTGTAATAACTTTAATAATATCTCAAAGTAAAACCTAACCCAAAACCTGGTACCATTCCAACTTTTCCTTGTTAGAAAC